TTTGGCTAAAGATATTATTTTGCTTTTTAGTGTAAGTAAATGAGGTGGAAAATGTCCCTTTGTAGACTCCAGTATTCATTTTCAGTACAGAACGAAGCAGCGGTTTTCCTGCCTGGGCTTAGGGCCCTGGCACTGAGAGAGATCATAACGAGATCTCAAAAGCAGTTTGGTTGTGATTCTGGAGTTTTTATATTTTGTTTTTTTCCTTAGTCTCCCAGTTTGTAAGTTTGTCTTTATAATGCCAAGAAACAGATGGACATGTTATGTTTCATACTAGTAAAAGGAACCACCAGCTTTATTTCTTTTATTTTTAGGGTTTGGAGAAGAAATAAGGAAGGAACATGGGATTTAGAATATCCCAAAGGGAAAAGTTTGAGCATCTGTATTCTAAACTCTTATCACCACTCTTCTTAACCAGTGTTTAGTGTTTCATAATTCCATCTTGAACGTTGAAAGTTAGATGAAGTTTCTCTTAAGACTTATGAAATTTGTTCTTGCTGTCTTAGAAAACTTGATGCTCAGAGATAGATTGTCTACATCATTATAACAAAAACTACTGTTTGCATGGAGAAAAGTTTCAGTAGTCCTATTTATTTAAAGAGCACATGTTTTGTTTGTTTGTTTGTTTTTGGTACGTGCCCCTAGCAGGAACTGAACCTGGGACTCTCTGGTCCGCAGGCCAACACTTCAACCGCTGAGCCAAACCAGCCAGGGCTAAAGAGCACATGTTTCTTTCTTTGTTATATACTTTCATATTTTTACACTTAACCTGGCTTCAACTTTCACAGAAATGATTAATATCACTCATTAATCATAAATAAAATGAGGTTATATTTTTTAAATTGCTTAATTTTTTAAATAATTGTGTATTAGATTCATATGTTTTCTCCTATGAGAAGTTAGAAAGTTTAAACAGAGAAGTCTTAACTTTGTAGTTTCTTTATTAATTGCACTGCTAAAAAATAAATCATAATGTAAATTTAAAATACAATGTGTTTATTATCTTGGTTAATTAGAAAACTATTCCAGAAGCTTAGATTATGTAAGATAGTTTAGATAAATGCTTTGCAACCTTTTTTTCTGCCTACACACACAGCTGGCTCCTGTCATCAAACTCCATATATTTTTAGTAGGTTAATGGGATGAGTTTGCACTGACGTTTGGGGAGGTCCTGCCTTGATCTCCTCTAGCTGGAAACTTGAGTTCTGTCAGAGTCCTGTCTTGGATATATAGTCTTCACAATTTTCTCCTTGGAAAGTCTTTACTTTAAGCAATAATAGATGACAAGTGTTTGTCTTTGTTGTGAAAGCAAAAGTTCAGAAACTCTGAAATGAATTATATTCTTATTGAAAAGGAGAAAATAATAGTGATAGGATGTATGCAATAATTAAGTTGTAGAAAAATTTTTTTTAATTTTCATTACATCTTAAAATGACATGGAAAGTAAATGTACTTTGTTAAACCCCCATTAATCGTTCTAATTGAAATTGATATTCTATTAATTTGACAATTCTAGTTAAGCTTAATAATATAAAATTATGCTAACTTCTGCAGTGATGCAGTATACTCTTACTGCTTATAAATGATTTAGTAGCTATTAGCCAAAATAGGAAGAAGTTTCACAAATATGTTTAGGGAAAACTTATACTATGAGATTAACTTTTTAACTAAAGTAGGGTTTCAGACTTCTGTATTGTTCTGTAACCAGAGTACTGCAGAATTAAACTGAGCAAGAAAACCTTGTGTTATGGTGCTGAATATTTGCTGGGGGTAATAATTGTAAACCAGTGTCATTTGCTTGTTTATTAGTTTTATTTCTTACTTTGAAGAGGTGATTTATTCAAATACTGGACATATGTATATGTATGTATTTGTATATATATAACTGGAGTTATGGTAAATATAAGAAAACATTTAGAATGAAAGTAACAGACCCGGTAATTGTCTTCAGAAGGTAAATGCCGAAGCGCTGTGTATGTGTTTTTGGTTATATGTATTCTAAAGCGCTTATTCATTATAGCAAATATGAAAACATGCAGAGGTCTTTTTAATCAAAAAGTTCAGAGGTTATATCTAGCTTTTCATTATCTGGTTTTGTTTTGTCTTAGAAGCAAATGAGGTACTTTGTAAAATGTAGCATTATGCCTGGAGGGTGTGGCTAGTGGTTGAGGGTAAACCCATGCACCAGGAGGTTGCCAATTTGATTCCAGGTCAGGGTACATGCCTAGGTTGTGGGCCAAATCCCCAATAGTGGTTGTGCAGGAAGCACCCAGCCAATCGATGTTCTCTCTAGTCAGTGTTTCTCCCCCCCCCCCTTCTTCTCTCTCTAAAATCAATAAAGAAAACAATTTAAAATGTAGCATTATAAGTAATAGCATTATAATAGTCTATAAAGAAATATATTAAAAAGTTGAAACCACTTCCTACTACAGCAGTTTTTAGATCGTACCTCCAACTTACATGTAGATTGTATTCTAAAATGTTTTGGAATGAAAAAATTTTTAAAGAGAAATAATGTTATAAATGTAGACCCTGCCCTGGGCGGAGGAGTGGGGGAAAAATTAACCCATGAAAGTTTATTTGGTATATGGTGTAGTATACAAGACCATATTTTTTTCAATGAACATGTTAATGCTAATCAGTAATTACAGGAACAAATTTGAGAAAGTATTTATCATGGTATTTGAGAAAAAACAGAAATTTGTGTTATGGGGACCTTAGCTAGAGTGGAATTAACTGAGGTGAAAATAGTGAAAAGCAGGTAAAGGGATGATACTCATTGAAAAATGAGATGCTTGACTAAAGGAGGTTAATGAAGTTATTTCTCATCACACACTGTTTGGAGGGCCTGGTTGCCCCAGGAATAGGTGGGTAAAGATGAGCTATTTCTGTTCTTTTGTTGTTGTTATTGTTGTTGACGTTTTAAAGGGAGAGTTATCCACCAAAGCCTTAATAAAAACCCAGATATCCTTTAAATTTAAAACCATAATGGAAAGTAATTTCTATTTTTGTTATTACCAATGATAAAAACAGATCTTAGACTAAAACCTTTTCTGTATTGTTTTCTACTTTGAGTATATTGTCCCAAGGAAACAGTGTTGTTTTTGATATTGTTCTTCAGAAGATCTATTTACCATTAAAACATACAATTAATAATATTTCAGCTTACCTAAACTACTGTTTAAAACATTATTTCTATGGCAAAATTTATTCACTGATTGGTTGAGTACCTATTATGTGCCAGGCAGTCTTCTTGGTGCTCTAACTACAACAGTGAATAAGAGACAAGAATCCTTGATATCATGGAGTGTACTGTCTAGTAGTGATTTATTTCCATTTTTAAGTTCCACCTGAAAGTTGCCAAACACTCATCTACTTTTAATACCTTCCAGTTGCCTAACTTAGGATAGGTGCTGTAGCTAGAAGCAGCTAGGACTCTAGATTTATATCTAATATCCTAAGTAGTGTCTAACAGTAGAGAGGGGAATAACTGTACTAACTGTTTTTGAATAGGGCAACAAAGGACAGCTTTTTTTTTTGCTTTTTTTCAAGAATTGGTTTGTTGGTGTTTAGAGAGAGAGGAAGGGAGAGAAACGATGTGAGAACATAACGTTGATCGGCTGCCTCCTGCATGACCCCCATCAGGGACAGAGCCCCCAACCTGGGCATTTGCACTGACTGGCAACACTGGCCAGGGCAGGACAGCTTCCTTTTAACGAGTAAGGACGAGAGTCTTTATCCTTGCCCAGCCATTCCTGAATAAGACTTCTTCTGATTGTGAGAATACTTGGACTATTTAGTTATTTACTTCTGCCACAGCTGCTCTCTTTATAAAAGATTTCATGTGTGACTGCTAAACTACCACATTGCTTGCATGCTGCGTACAGTTTGGTAGAGGCAGTGTAATAAATTGTTAAGTGAACAGGACTCATCCTGATGGCCTAGAAATCCCAACTGCCTCTAATCTAGCTGTGTGATCTTGGGCAAATTACTGAATTTGTCTGTGCCAGAGTTGTTTTTTTTCCAATCTATAAAGGTAGTGATAATAGCTGGATAATGTGAGGATGAAATGAGTTCATTGGTAATGCCTAGCACTAAGCAGTTACTATGAGGCAGTTATTATTTTCCATGCTTGACATATAATTTATGTAAAAGATGCTTTTCTGTATATTTTTGCCAAGTATCTTATTTTATTTGGTGGGTTTATGTCTTCAAGGAGAACAACTTGGTATAATGGGAATCTGTGTTCTAGTTTGGATCATTCATTGATCTGATCTTTATTTGATCAATTAGTGAGGGAGAGTTCAGGTAAAATAATCTCTAATATTTTTGATAGGTTTGCATGTTGGACCTCTGGCTGTTTTTGAGTACTCAGCTGTAACTTGTTTTCTGTTTATTCATACTGTGAAATGATGAACTAGATACTTAGTTTTTGTACCACAGTTTACTAGTGGGTATTAGGAGTTCTCAAATTTTGAGTTATTGGATGATTTACAGATGATTCCTGTGATTTGTGTTTGTGTGTTCAATCTAAATATAAACTACTACATAAACATGTCCAATAAAAGATACTTTCATAATATAACCTCTACCTTGGCTTTTCATGTCACTGAGAAACCTATGTCATAAAATTTCTATAATAACCTCCTAGTAAAATTTAAGTCATACAAACTAGAAATACATTCTTTTCCTAATTACAGCCTAATCTGTGTATGTGAACTTAAACGTTAAGGACTTTAGTTAGATTTACTTCTTTTTTATGTCCTGTATCTTAGAAGACTATTCAGATTTTCATTAGTTTTTTTCACTTTTTTCCAAAGGGCATCTCGTAGATGAGCATGTTGTAGAACCAAAATACATGTTATAGTTAAATTTTATTGGAATTCAAGTCCTGTAAAGATGGTTGTGTTTAATTCCTACAAAGTTATTTGTAGTTTTTTTCCTGAACTTTTCCTTCTGCAGCAAAGTTCTATTTTCATTAACTACACACTATTTTAAAGTAAAAGATGGTGGTGAAAGATCAGTCTGTGTCACCTTTGGATTTTTTTTCTTCGTGAAAGCAATGGCGGTCTTGATTGTAACAGAAAACTATCTGGAATTTGGACTCGAAACAGGTAATTCATACAACTTTAAAAATCAGTTTTGCTTTACCTAGTGTTAATATTTTTTACTTTAATATTTAAGTAAGTTTTATATCACAGTAGTTTTTAAAATTAAGTTAGAGGTGCATATTCTGTAATGTTCTAAATAAATGAACCTTTATTTTTCTAAAGATCTTCCTTTTTGTTTTTTTTGTTTTAGCTAAGTTTTTTGTTACCTTTCTTCAGAAATGCTGCTCTTTCCTTACTTTTTTCTTATAGTTAAATGAGATTCTGTAGTGCTAAAATTTATTCACATAGATAAAGATCCAAATCTTAATGCAAATTTTATGCACTCTCATGGAATGTACAAATATCAAAAGAATGTTTTCAAAGACTGTTCCTGCTAATAACCAAATTTTATTGCATTATGGCATACTAATTAGCACATGAAAGAGCTAAACTAGTCACATCAAAGTTTAGATGCTATGTTTTCTAGCATTTTATTTCCAAAGAAAGATTCTGTATTTTACCTTAGTGATAAGAATAATTTTTTCTTCCCCTACAGGATTTACAAATTTTTCAGACAGTGCCATGCAGTTTCTTGAAAAGCAAGGTTTAGAATCTCAGTAAGTTTTTTTTTAATTAAGCATTATTTAAGTTTTTCCATTTTTGTAAAATTGATTTACTATGAGTGATTCTTTGTTTTTACTCCGTGAAAAGAGTTCTTTTTAAGTAGGACGTCACTTTTACAAATATTCTTACTTAAAATTTAATATTTGTATAAAGTTAGCGTCTTTCATAGAATTTTTACTTGGATTTGATTTAATTCTTCTGCCAGCAGAGATTAAACTAAGTTATATCTGGGTCACATATCAAATTCTATGTTGAATATGTAGGTTGGATTGTTCAAATATGGCTAAAGAGATGCCTGATTTACTATATAGTTCACTGAAATCTATTATAGAAAATTGGATAAGCATAGGCTTTTTGTGGAAGTTAACATTTTGTGCATTACTGTTATTATTGTGGATTTTTAAAAAAAATGATTGATTAGAAGAAAGAAAAATTCCTAGAAAGTTAACTTTAAATATTTATCAGATTTTTAAAAATTTTATTTTTAGGGGTCCTGTTTCAAAACTTACTTTCAAATTTTTCCTGGCTATTTTCTGTTCACTCATTGGGGCTTTTTTGACATTTCCTGGATTACGGCTGGCTCAAATGCATCTGGATGCCCTGAATTTGGCAACAGAAAAAATTACACAGTAAGCGGAAAATGTACATAAGCACATGCAGATAAATATATGTTTTCCATCTTAATGAAGGTATATTATTGCAATGAAATAATAAATTAAATGTATTGAAAATTAATGAATAATCATTTGATGTAACACTACATCCTCTTTTACTATAAGCAAGTTTCTTTTATTCAGTTCCAAATTTTAAGTCCTGTGTTTAAAAAATATTACATCAATTGCTAAATTGTTTTACCTGTTAGAATGGAAATATCATTATTTATGTTAATTCTTTTTAACCCAGGTCAACTTATAATATTATAATCTCAACAACTAAACTAAGTATCTATGGAATATTTTATTTAAATTTTATATAAGCATTTTTATTTAAAATTTTAAATATTTTTTATTAAAATTTTTAAAAGTAAAATCTGTATACATAAGAGGTGTTTGTACAACTTGTTAAAATGATGTGTTTTAATTTGGTATTAGTACTTGTACAGTGTCAAATATTATAGACTGCTTTTAACTATCAAATTTTATTTTAGTTCTCAAATGGAGAAGTTATATTTGAAAATCTATATGTAGTTCAAAGCCCATTTACTGTATTCTTTGTGGTCACCTTAGATTTTTGTTGTTGGTATAGACACCTTGGCAGAATGACAGGTTTATATCTCCAGCTCATATCCACATCCAAATTCCCACCTTGTCTTTTTGTTTTGCAGTAGAAGCCAAGTTGAGAATAGTTGTTTTTGATATATGTGCTTATAGTCATTATGTTTCTGAGTGATCATTTCATAACATTTCTGCTCTTTAAAATCCCATATTAATGATGTTGATTCTCTAGTGTTTTTACATTCATATCTCTCTTATCTATTTAATTTTTCTTTATTTTAATTTTGACAGTCTTTTGGTTTTTTCCTCAGCTCCATGTTTTTACATATGCATTGTGTGTGTGTTTACTTATTCTCACCTCCCAGTACACACTCCTTCATCCCTCCCTTTCCTCCTTCTTTTTTTTACTCATGCTCTTGGCTACACCCTGCCTTTCTCCCACCATCAGTCACTCTAATGGCTTCTTTTAAAACAAAACCTTGTTCTCCCCCCTTCTCTACACACACACTTCAGTCCACTAACCCCAGTGTTACGATTTAAATAAGCTGAAAGGGTGGGTGGAGGGGAGTCCTTCACCAGCTACTGAAACCGCTGTGGGCTGCTCCTTAATACTAGAGTGTTCCCTAGCAACACTGCATACCTAATACTGCTGCTTTCTTCCCCACACCCAAAGGTTTTACCCAGCCTGTGGGTGAAAGAATCACTTTATAAAAACATTTAAAACATTAGTGGTGGTTTGTGGTGCGGGTGGAAGCACATTTCAGTTTCCTTTTCAGTAAAACGTGGCTTTTTTTTCAAGATTTTTCACTTTAGTGATTTGGAGTTTTATTTTCAGTTTATTGTAGTCCTGTGCTCCCCCCCCCCCACACACACACACACAGATACACATTGTGTTGTAGCACTCTGCCTGATACGAAGGTGTGGACAAGATAGTTGTGTTGTGAGAGTAGCATGACAGGCACAAGGAGCAGCATTTTCCTCGCCCCCATGGCCAGGCACTAGTACTTGTTTTAATTCCAGAGCATAGAACATCACCTTTCCCTGTCAGGTGTTCATGGTTCTCAGACCCAGCCCTATTTCCACACACACATTACTATCGTGTGAACTATAGTGATACTTTAAAGTGTATGTGTGTGTATTTAAAACCCTCCAGTTTAGCCCTTCGTCATGGTTGATAAGAAAAGTACTACATGGTAATAAAATAATCTGAAGGATTTGTCTTTTCTAAAATAAGAAAAATCCCTTCTAGTCATTTATCTCTGTAGGGTGCAAATTTGGGATAACCGTTAACAATGAAGTTATAGCTCATATCTGAAACCTTTTGCTGTATTAAGGTATATTACCTTCTTAGGAGTAATATAAATTTTTTTGATAAGTAAAGGATAGGAAAATTTATTTCATGTATGTTTAAAATACTCCAAGAAGAAATGAAAATATGTGCATTATTTATGATTTTTAACAATGTAATTAAAACAATATACACGATCATTGCATATTGAAAGTTTCCTTAGTTATAAGTTATTGCAATAGGTTCCATCTGCTGTATGCCTTCTAGTATTATGGACCTTGCTAATCACACTCTTCCTTGTGAATAATGAGGCATTATTTTACCTACACTGAAAAGTACCAAAAGACGACTCCTGTATATTGAAAATTCTTTGGATTCATTGACTACGTAAAGTTAGAGAATCATTTAAGTACCAGTGTATTAAATCAAGGAGATGGGAGGGGATTTTTAACACTAGAATAGAAGTGAACAGATTTAGATTTTAGTGCTAGATATACCTTTGACCTGTAATACTGCCAGGGGCAAGTCATTTAACTTTCCTGGATCTAAATGTTTTTATCTGAAAAATTAAGACAATGAAGTGGTTTTGCAAGGGTTCAAATCAGTGTTAAGTGATAATGATAAATATAAAATAATGGTGACAGTAGTATCTTAAATATATACAGAAAATACGTTTTTACCTTTATTTTTTAAGTCCCAAGTTTCTGTAGTTTATTAGTGTATTTTACTTCGGGATTTTTACGTTTTTTTCTTACATACTTTCAGAACATTACTTCATATCAACTTCTTGGCACCTTTATTTATGGTTCTGCTGTGGGTAAAACCAATCACCAAAGACTACATTATGAACCCACCATTGGGTAAAGAAAGTATCCCTTTGTAAGTATGGATATTTGAGGGCCAATTTTGGTTTCTTTATGTAATCAAAAATGTTATATGCTATGTTTAAATTTTTAAGGAGAATATTAGGACACTATTTTTAAAACAATAGAAATACTAAAAATGTTATAAAATTAAAGCTACAGGTCATCATTTAGTTCTTTGTGATGTTTATTAATGAATGAATATTGCTCCACATTAACATTATTTTATACACTTGTAAGTTTTTCTGCTTTTGCACTTATTGACCAGTTATTTGCCATTTTTCTGTTGTCTTTGTGTCTGTTTTAAAGATACTTTGTGTTTTTATTTTTTTAATTGTGAAAATTATGGAGGGAAAAAATAAGTATGAATCAAAATTCATATGTGCAGCCCCATAGTAATTAACATTTTCTATATTTGCTTCACTCTTTTTTAAAAAATAATTTCTCTTTATTGATTTTAGAGAGAGGAAGGGAGAGGGAGAGAGATAGAGACATCGATGAGAGAGAACATCAATCAACTGCCTCCTGCATGCCCCCCACTAGGGATTTGGCCCACAACCTGGGCATGTGCCCTTACCAGGAATCAAACCGGTGACCTCTTGGTGCATGAGTCAGTGCTCAACCACTGAGCCACACCAGCCAGGTGTGTTTTGTTTTGTTTTGTTTTTAATGTAGTTTTTCAAGTAAATTAGAGGCATAACATTTTTATTACTAAGTAGTTTATTTTAGTAAAAAATAAGGACATTTTCCTACATAACAATATTGTCATCACACCTGTGAAAATTAAAAAATAATGCCTTAACATTATATCTAATATTAGGTGATAGTTCCTCAGTTATACAACTGTATATTTTAACAGAAGAAGATGGTAAGGAAACATAGAAACAGTTTATTAAAGGACATTAATAACTGTACTTGGTATGATAACTCGTTAGCCTTGTGAAATGATGTTAGAGTAGTAGAAAGATTTATACAGAGCTAGTCTTTCTTTGAAGTTTGGTCATAGGAGTTGGATTTTATACTGCTGTTATTATGTTTTCTGATTTTATATTTGTCTTAGTTTAATTAGGAAAACAGGAAACCAGCATTTATGATGTATCCATCTGTCATGCTAGGTATTGACACTTCACATATTTTATCTCATTTATTCTTATAGTAATTCTGTGTGTGATTGCTGTTCTCATCTCATTTTGTAGATGAAGTAATGGACTCAGAAGTTAAATAATTTGACTAAGGTTATTCAGTCAGATTCAGTATATATGAAGCACTTAGTGGTTATACCAACATTCATATCCCACTTTCAGCCTAACTAAACTTTGTGCAGGTTAGTAGCAAATACTATGCTTAAAGGAAATGGAGATAAATAATTTTTTCCTTGTGTATATATTAAAATATAGGAAAGATGTGTTTTACATGAAGACTTGCCCTGCCTATAGCTTTGTTTCTTTTGTTCCATTCCCATTTCTGACCTATTTCATAAGCAATTCAAACAAAATCACAGCCTTGTCTCTGCTCCATCCTGTTCTCTATTTGTTAGACCATTACATTAAGTGATTAGACAGAGGTGATTTTTAATTTTTGCTTAAAATCCAAAGTCCATGTGGTAGATTGAGAAAGAATGGTTGCCCATCAATCAAAGAAAATGAGATGAAGAAGAAAGCAAATGACAGGTTTTTCTCCTGTTACATGGACTAAATGGTTTATGGAAAAGTCTTTATTCATTGTCAGAAGCAAAAATGGTTCTAATGCAGTTTCAATCCGGAAATGTATTTAAATCCATCCAAGCAGTTTGTGTGTGTTCATGACCTCATAAGAAGAAAACCAAAAGAGATCATATACAGTGAAACCTAGAATGACTTCAGGTATTTGGAGAAATATTTTCTGCCTGTTCTTATATATTTTATCCCAGCTCAGGCTCTTTCCTGAGATACTCCATTAGATCAACTTAACCAAATCTTTATTAAGTTAGTTAAATAATCTGAGTTAGAAGTACTACTTAATAACTGTTATCCTAAATCCTGAATTCATAAATTGAGCAAATATTTTTTGATTCACTGCTTTATTCTATTCCCTTTATTCCGATTATCTGTCACCCTCAAGGTCTGTGTAATAGCTGTCTTCAGGATGCTATCAGTCAAGCCTCCTTATTGCACAACTCCAGGGAGCACAGTGTTGTCTATAGGCTCCCGGGAAAGGTTCAAGGTTGTGGATGGCCTTACATCTTCTGTTCTATCAGTCTCAGATGACTGACTGTCTCCTTCCTCTCTTTGTTCATTAGAATGGAAATGAATGGATAAAAGTTATTTCTTTATCCTTCCTAACCAACAGTGCTTTTCCACTGAGATTTTTTATATCCATGTGAACTTATGACCTTGTAAAAAGGAAACCAAAAGAGAGCATACATAATAAAGCCTTTGTTTCATCCCCACTTCTGACCCCCATTTTATAAATAGTCCAAATCACTGTACACTTTTGCATCGTCTCCTGTATTGTAGTTGTAGGTGTTTAAACTGGACAGAGGAAGGGATGATAATAGAACTTGTTTTAGGGAGAAGTGTGTAAGATGTTTTATCTTTTTCCATGTGTGTTTTTTATTTTTTATTTTTTATTTTTTATTTTTTGTTGTTCAGGTAGAGTGGGAGAGAGAGAGAGAAACAGAGAGAGAGAAACATCGATGTGAAGGGACACATCGAGTGGTTGCCACCCGCACAACCGACCAGGGCCGGGGACAAACTGCAACCGAGGTACGTGCCCTTAGTGGGAACCGAACCCGGGTCTCTCAGGACCGCAGGCTGACGCTCTAACCGCTGAGCCAAACTGGCCAGGGCTCCATGTGTGTTTTTTTTTTTGTTTTTTTTTTTTTTTTTTAATCTTTATGAAATTTTATTTATTGTTTTGTTACAGACATTTTACCTTTTTACCCCATTGGCACCCCCCACCCCACTCCCCCGTCCCCTGCTTAGTTGTCCATGTCCATTGGTCATGCATACATGCATATAAGTTCTGTGGTTTATCTCTTCCCACCCCCCAACCCCTCCCACCCCCTCTTCTGAGGGATGTCAGTCTGTGCCCTATTTCCATGTGTCTGGGTCTTCCATGTGTGTTTTTAAATAGTCACCCATTCTATTCTCATGATCTTCAAAATTTGAGGGAGACCCTTTTGTGTTCCAGATCCTACCTGGGACATCACTCCACACAATATATTAAGTACCTGATATGTGCTAGAGATTAGAACAGATGCCCCTTGTGGTCTAGTCATTACTTTCAAATTGCGGTATGATCCTTTATCAAAGCAGAAACCATGGTCTTTTGTGAACATTAAACTCCAAAGGACATCAGAAATTACCTCTTATTTCTAAGGTTCTTTAAGGAACCCTTACCATAGTCTAGTTTCTGAAAAAAATGTCCTAAAGGTTACATCTCCCCTGGAGTCTTAACCTTAGCCTTGAGGAATTGCTTAGAAACTGAGCCAGCTTCAGCACATAGCAGGTTAAGTGACTTGTTGGAGAGGAATCTGAGGCATCTGATTTCTTCATAATGTATCAGAACCTTGATTTTTCCAGTGATCCCAAACAGGAACTCAGCAGAGTGAAAGATCTTATCCAAATATGTATATATACATACATATATATGTATGTATGTGTATGTATATATATGTGTGTGTGTGTGTGTGTGTGTGTATATCTCAGAGAAAACTCTAGCCACAAAACAGGGTGGGACAAAAGTAGGTTTACAGTTGTGAGTACATGAAACAGAGTTATTCTAGTTTTATTAATTATTATATTATTTTTCATATGAACAACTGTAAACCTACTTTTTTCCCCACGCTGTATAGTTGGGTTGTTGACTTGATAGATACAGAGGCAGTCTCCAGTGGTTTTCTTCGTTCTGTTTCCTAGTCTCTAGTTTAAGAGCACCCAACTTCTCTTTTCATTTCACAGTGGATTTTTTTCCCCATTCACGAGGGTAGATAGAGAAAAGGATCCCTAGTACTGCTCTACTTTTTTCTTCTAGATATCTGCTACTACTTTACTTTCATGATGCATTTGTCTGTCTGGTTCTATTATGCAAGTGAAAGTATTATATAGTTAAGTCTATGGCAGAGTGGGATACTTTTGCTTTATATCTCCACTGTAGCTAAGTATAGGTTATATGGTGAACATTAGCACATATAACTAGCAAGCTGGTCTAAAATGATCTTTGAGAGCACCATGTCAACTTTTTGATCTGTAGAATGACAGAAGCTACTTTTGATACTCTGCGACTCTGGTTAATAATCCTGCTGTGTGCTTTGCGGTTGGCCATGATGCGTAGTCACCTGCAAGCTTACTTAAACTTAGCCCAGAAATGTGTGGATCAGATGAAGAAAGAAGCAGGGCGAATCAGTACGGTTGAGCTACAGAAAATGGTAAGTTTTATACTGTAGTTAAATAAAAAAATAGCAAATATTGTGTTGTAAGAAAAAAAGAATTTGGTTTCCTTTAATAGGTTGTAATTTTATTTTATAATATTTTTATTGTAAATAAATGGGGTGATTTTATACAGACGTCGAGAGACCTTGATCTGGTGCTAAGTGAAGAAAGAGCATTAAGTCCTCTTCCTGCCTGAAGTGCTTTTTAAGTACCATACAGTTGTTTGGTGTAAAGCTGTGGTATGTCTGCAGTTGCTAAAATGAGACCCCCCCTTATGGCTTTGAAAGACATTACAATATATTGTCCACCCTTTGTGAATTAAAGGGTATGAAATATTAATTTTAGTGATTACATTAATTTTGTTTGACATTCTTCTAAGACTTGAACATGAAATGTAAGTCTTTAACTTAATAGGGGTTCCAGAGAAGGAAAGTGCTAGGAACCCCTCAACACTATAGTGCACTGGACCTCTAAACTGGCCAATGTCTTTTTCTTTCAGAGAGAGATTTGGTGTTAAGTCTCTTTTTGACTTTCATTTATAAATCAGGGATGTTTATCAAGATTCAACTTTTTTTCTGTTTTTCCTTTCATGTATTTTCATATTCTGTAATTTGACCTCAGTTGAATATACTCCTATAGGATGGGGAGGTGATACTTTTATTTATAGGGGTTTATGCTCATATAGGGACTCTGCCTGTTACTGTTACTTAGTTTGATATTTTTATGTGTCTAGAGATTTTATCATTTTGTTTTATGTTTAAAATGTAAGTGAATATATACCATTTCAATTTTAGTGGTTACTTTCCACAGTTTATGTTAATCACTTAACTTTTTAAAGGAAATTATCTTAATATTTTTACATTTTAAAAAATTTATCTTCAAACTGAGACTTTATGAAATCAGTTTGGGGGTATTTATAAGGAAGTACAAACTTATTATCATTTAGCTTCTTTTCCATGAAAGGATTTCCTAACCTCTAAACAATTCTGATTGACAATTGAAAGTTTGATTCACTCATAACATGCCAGCCATATTAGACACTTAAGAATGTTGTTGGTTACAGGTGACCCGAGTCTTTTATTACCTTTGTGTCATTGCACTGCAGTACGTGGCCCCTCTGGTGATGCTGCTTCACACAACTCTGCTTTTGAAAACGCTAGGTAGGTGTGCCCTGGCAACTGGGAAATGAGTGGTTTTACTTTCTACTTGTAATTCATAATGTTTCTTGTTACCTGCAAAGAAATATTCCTCTTAAAATTGTTTCTCTCTTTAAAAGTTTGAAAAGGTTTGCCTGGCCAGTGTGGTTTAGTGGTTGAGGTCGATCCATGCACCAACAGGTCGCCGGTTCAATTCCTGGTCAGGTCACATGCCCAGGTTGCCTGCTCGATCCCGATCCCCGCTGTGGGGACGTGGAGCGTGCAGGAGGCAGCCAAAGGATGTTGACGTTTCTCTCTCCCCCTTCCTCTCTAAAAAAAATCAATAAAAACAAACAGAAAACATTTTTTAAAGTTTCAATAGGAAACTTTTAGCTTTAGAACTTTCTCATTTTGATTTTGAAAACTCAGGCCTTTATGATTTTATGTTCTGCTTTACTTATAAAAATTGTTTACTAAAGATTAATTCCCAGATTTACAAAGTTACTGAATAACTCTAGTGGGCACTGTTGATCTTAGTTATTTTGTGTTATAAAAAGACTAAGGTTTTGTTAGTGCCTAACGTTTAAATTATTACAAAGTACTTGTAAACATATATGAATTACAGAATACTTTATAGATAACTTATGTTGAAAGAGTAAAAATTTATCCATGGAAGAACAAAGTTCTATAAGTCTGTTTACTAAGGTATCAAGTCCCTGTGTAGTGTTATTTAAGAACTATCTATTGTTGTATTGATCATTTTTCTTGGTGTAATGTGGGGGTTTAAGAAGCCAGAGGAACTAAAAGTATTATTTAGGCAGGCTTAGTAGATACCATGGAGCTGATGGTAGATGGAACTGTTCTTTAGGAATCTGGGGAACATAAAGGAGTAGCTCAGTTGTAAATTATGTGATTCACATCCTATCCAACTTTGGGAAGTATATGATGAAAAAATTTCTGGAAGCCATTAATAGTCTTTCACATTGAAATCATAGATAGTTTCTGAGAAGGAAATTTATTCTGATATTCTAGAGGAAGAAAAGATTTCTAAGAAGTTATTGAGTCTGTCCCTGTCACTTTAGTAGAGATAGTTGATTCATACATTATATAAGGAAAATTTGTTTTTATTATTTTAGAAGATTTTAGTGAAGTTATTAAAAGTACATTAGACTCGTCGCTTTTATATGTACTTTTACTGATGAGGCCAGATTGTAGTCTAGTCAAATTAAATGAATTTTTTACTAGGTATGTTGAAAGATTATTATTTTACTTTATTTTAAGGAAAAGTAATTTATTGTGCCAGTAAAATTCTTGTTCTTAATTTCAAATGTAAGTTAAAGAATTTATTATTTTAGTAAGAAGCTTTGAAATTAGTTATTCTTCAAGTTTTATTTATGTCTTGAATTTTCTAGGTAATCATTCCTGGGGTATTTATCCAGAATCTATCTCTACCTTGCCAGTGGATAATAGTCTACCATCCAATTCTGTTTACTCTGAATTACCATCTGCTGATGGGAAGATGAAGGTAACTGTTACACAAATAACAGTGGCACTGAGCAGCTTAAAAAACATTTTCACTCCTCTGCTCTTTCGAGGACTTCTGTCTTTTCTAACCTGGTGGATTGCTGCTTGTCTCTTTTCTACAAGCCTTTTTGGGCTTTTCTATCACCAGTATCTCACTGTGGCATGAATCTCAGTTAACAAAAAAGGATGTCCGCGTCACACTTTGGATTCAACTATTTGTGCCCTTGAAGGGCTGACTAAAACCAGAAGAAAGCAAATACAAAGGAAAAAAGAAACATATCAGAATATCATGTTTGAAGTGCGTCCTCTGTATTCTCAGGGTGAATTAATGGTATAATATGTAAAATTACAGAGCAGATTGTCAAGTGCTATACTGTGGCATTGGAATTTTAACTCCTTGTATTAACTGATGTGAGAGGGCTATCTACAAGGATAATACTTCTGATTACCTTGGTTTACAGAAACCTCTGAAACAGTCTTTGAAACATTTCATATGACTCCAGTTATTGATTGCTGTTCATGGTATTAAGTTACTGTTAATATTCATGTGGCTGCCTGTACAACACTCTTCAATCTGAGCCATGTTTTAGAGGAGGTAAAGGAGCTAAAGTTGCTTCTGTTGGTAATACATTAGCCACTCTTCAAACAACAACAACAACAGAAAATCCAACAGAAAATAAGAAATAGCTACTGTATATTACAGTAAAGAAGCTGCATAGTAGTTTTAAATTTAATGGAGATGTACATGCTTAATATCTACAAGTACTGCTGCTTGAGAGTAGCAAGAGTATTGTTTTAAAATGTGTTCTATCCAACTTGAGGGATCTTTTGAAATGACTGGTTATATGAACATTTGCAACCTTGCTGTAGTTAGGTTTGGGCCTTTCATATTTTATTTTATGATCCTAAATAGTTCTTTTTAATGATCTAAAAATATTTATCAATATTGATCAGACTTTTAAAAAATTACTTTGTAATCCTGCTGACTACCTGTATGTATTGTATATATTATATATTAAATATATAATATATTGAGATTATAAAAGATGAAAATATTGGATCCTTATAATATTTTAAGTTGCTGAATGTATGTTAAAACATTATTGAATGAGATGTATTTGTATCTAGAAATTTTCTTTCTTTTTGGAATGAGATTAAAGTACATTTTGAAAATTTATTAGAGCAAGCAGTTTATTTGTGTTGCCTATGTGAGAATAGTTATAGTTTATAAATACTTAGATGATTTCTCCCAAATGGAAATTTTTTTTGTCATTTTCAAAAAATCAGAATTTTTCTCACGATAAACAAATCTATAGTTATCATTTAAATCCGTGCTAAATAGGACTTATTTTACATTTGTAGTGTCCAGAATTACAGATGTTAAATTTTTATTTCATAGTTCAGAAATTGAAGTGATTTGATTGAAAAATTCAAACAGAATTAAAAGAAAATAGTAAAATTCTTTTTAATGCTTTTAACATCAAAGACCTAAAATGAAGGGTTATAGTTATAAAGAGAATGAATATAATAGCTTTGTTTTTTTCTAAGAAATAGTAGAATTTGTAAATATTCTTCCATATAACTATCTTTAGAGACTGTATATGTTTCAATGCCATTGTTACTATTGAAAGTAATTTTGAAACTTCTTTTGGAATTACTTTCAAGGCTTGTTGTTCACTTTCATTTGAATAATCTCAGTACAGCAAATTTTGGCATTTTGGTGTAGATAAATATTTTGGAAATAGCTGATTTTTAAACAACTGAATAATAAGTGCTTAACTTGGATAAAGCTCTTTGGTTGAAATGAATTGTAGATATAGCAAATGATACGTGTGTATTTATAAAGACGCATTCCATATATATCTTGAGATATATTAGCATCACTAAAATAAATATAATATCTTATAATAAGATTACAGCAAAGTATAACATTTATTTTATATGTGAAAGATCTCACATGTTGGACTTGAAAAGACTCTCACCTGGTGTAACCATTTTTATTAAAATTTTAATTATTAAAGTTATTATTTTGAGTTTTAAAGATTGTACGATGGATTTATATAGAGGAAAATGTATAGAATTCATTATTGGGTGGAATAACATATATTTTTAAAATAATATTGATTCACTCTTTTTAAATTTGAATTCTCCCTAAGTATACTAATTTTACACAAGCTGAACATTAAGTAATGGGTTTGGTTTAGTATTTTATTTTTTTAGGCTTTCAAAGCAAATTTGAAGAGAATGATGGTTATAACTACTAACTGGTTTATTTGTGCATTTTGTCTTTGTACCAAGAATTATGTTCTTTAAGTGCAAAAGGGTTTGTACTTTATATAAACCAAATACTTTATAATTGACATAACATTGTATTAGTTTTAGGTGTACTACTACATAAAGATTTGATATATGTATATATTGCAAAATGATTCATACAAAAAATATTTTAATAGCCTAAATTAGTATTCAGTAGAATTATTTTAATTTTTATATCATATTCTAGTCAATGTAATATGCTTCAACAGAGAGTTACTCTTATTATGTATTTTTTTAAAATATATGTTTATTGATTTTTAGAGATAGAGGAAGGGAGCGGGAAAGAGAGAAACATCAATGAGAGAGACACTTCAATTGACTGCCTCCTGCCCACCACCCACTGGAGATCGAGACTGCAACCGGGCATGTGCCCTTACCAGGAATTGAACTGGCAACCTCTTGGTTCATGGGTGGATGCTCAACCACTGAGCCTCACCAGCTGGGTTTATTATGTATTTTTTTCCCAAATTAACTTGGAATCCTGATAATCTTACTTTGAATGATTTGTGGAATTTTATTTGATAATTTGTTCATTTCTCCTCCTCTCCCAGCCAATTGCATTATAAAAATCATAGAGCTCTATTCTTTCTCCTACCCCCAATGGTTTGTCTGAAATGAAAAGCATATAATTTTATCCTAGTATCTGTATATATATTGACTATCTTTGGTATTTTCCCCAGAATTCCAGTTGCTGTGTATAAATGACCAGTGCATCCAAGTAGAATGGGCTCATTGTCTTATTGTTTCCAATATAAATATCATTGATAAAATACTGACATTTCTTCTTGAGTTATGATTCAGAAAAGATATTCACCCATTAATGGAATTGATAGGTCTAGGAAGCAATAAATAGAATTCATTATGAAATCTATAATTGGAACTTCACTGGATAGATTTTATTCTTTCAAATGAAAGATTAAATTCTCAGTACTACAAAGCATGGGGTCTCAACATTCTCTGAATTCATGCACTTTCTGAGCCATCTCATAATTGAAAATGGTCTATCATGGTATATGGCTCTATTCAGCAAAATAAAGCTAAGTGATTTTTGAATGTAGATCATCTTGTGTCTTCACAGAGCTTTAGGTGGCTTAAAGAATCAGACTTAAACACACTTATGATCTGAGCTTGAACCCAGTGTCTCAAAATAGTCATGCAGTCTCATCTTTTAACTCCCACTCATCTCATTATGTTTATACCTTGGGTTTATAGCTAAGCTAGTTATATGCCATAAATACTCTGACATGGACACTAAGAGTGGTCAAAAATGTCAGCCTTTCTCTTTAAAATGGTAAACATTTTCACATATTTTTTGCCTACTTTATAAGAAGAGAGAAAACCCAGATACAGTATAGCTTGTGCATATGCTTGACTTCTCTTACTAAGAGATTCCTTTTAGCTATAAACTATTTATGTTGGATGGGCCTATCTTTAATGAGTCAAAGAGTTTCTTTTTTTCTATTCCATCTGTTTGTTCCTTTTTCTACACAGCTTATTCCCCCTCATTTTTCCCTTTTGGAAAGACACTTTCTTTTCAAAATAAAGTAGCAGCTTATTTTTGTATACAGAATGTTAAGACTCAAGAAACATCTCTTCTCATCCCATTTCTGCCTATAATGAGCTACTTTTTGCATTTAGTAGGTACTCAACCCCCACTAATTAAATAGAACTGAATTATCACTATTACTTCAGTTTTATCATGTCAAGTAAAATAGTTTACATTAAATGTAAGGCTATATAGTTCTAAATCGGCTATCGGTTTCTCTTTGTGTTAGCATGAGAAAAATGGAATAGCTAGTTTTGGTTTCAGGAATGAGTATAGATCATGTTAGTTAGAAGACATTCATTTATTTTTAATCGAAAAATGACTTTACAAAGAGTGCTTTCTTCAGTTTTTGTTTGTACTCGTTTTATTTGTTCAATAAATAATTTGAATGCCTATAATGTTCCAGAGATTGCCCTCGTATAACAGTAAACAAAACATCAAAATCCCTGCCCTCCAGGAACTTAAAATCTAGTGAGGAGATGCAGACAATAAAGATAAATATGATTCAAATATAGGATATGTTAGTGATAAGAGCTCATGAGTGGGAGGTGGGGAAATGAGGGGAGGGGAAATGTGAAGTTGGATCGTAGGGATACAGTCATAATTTGAAGTAGAGCATTGAAGGAAAGCCCCACTGAGAAGGTGCTTTCTTAAGGAAATGGGGGTCATCATACTGTGTTTTTCTAATATCACTTTAGTTATTGGTCAACAAAACACCCTGATTGCTTGGAATCCACTAGTTCTGGGTCACTAAAGGGATTTTTAAAAAGATGGACAATATTATATAGTCCCCTATTCAGTTGATTTATTGTTCAGGAAGGATTACAGCCATTGAATTAAATGCTGTTTGCTAATAAATATTAAAACATGGAATCTCATGAGTCCACTTTTATATTTTCTCTGTCAAGTGCTTTTTAAATTAATTTGGACATGTTTACGTTTTATTTCATTAGAACCTTTAAAAACTCAAAGGGTTTCAAAAGAGTTGCAAGACTCTAGAGTAATATGATGTGTCCATTTGACAGACACATTTTACCCACCACTCTTTAGTCTGTCAGTTAATCTGTTACACAAAGGGTAACGTGGCTGAGGACAAAATATGATAATGTCAACATTTTAAATGTATGACACAGTTTGAGTATATTAAGTACCCACTGCTGAAGTATTAAAAGTGAGTGAGATGTGCCTGGCCGGTGTGGCTCAGTGGTTGAGTGTCGACCCATGCACCAAGAGGTCACCAGTTTGATTCCCGGTCAGGGCACATGCCCATGTTGTGGGCCCAATATCCTGTGGGGGTCATGCAGGAGGTGGCCAGTCAATATTCTCTCTCATCGATGTTTCTATCTCTCCCTCTTTCTTCGTCTCCCTCTAAAAAACAATAAAGAAAAAAAATTGTTTTTTTTAAAAGTGAGATGTATTTTTTAAAATAGTACTCTACGTTGGCCCGTGGACCGGAGAGTCTCAGGTTCAGCTCCCACTAAGGGCATGTACCTCGGTTGTAGTTTGTCCCCGGCCCCTGTTGGGGTTGTGTCCTAGTCAATGTGTCTCCCTCACATCAATGTTTCTCTGTCTCTCTTCCTCTCTCTCTTGTTCCCACTCTATCCGAAGATAAATGCAAAAATGTCCTTGGGTGAAGATTTAAAAAAACCCACAAAATAGTATAGTGCTCTATTAAAATTAGCTTTAACATTTATTTTGTTTATTTGGAATGTATTTTCCTTTATGTAATCCTACAGTAAAACAATTTATACTTCTGAATAGTAAATTCTAAAAGACTAAACAAAAATGAAACCTTGTTAAAATTACTTTAAGTAGCAATGATAAGATATAGGAATTACTGTAATTGTGTTTATGTGTATATTTACTTGTTTCATTTCTATTTTTAACAATTTCTTAGAGCATGATATATAATTTTTTCACATATTTAAATCTTTATTATAGTAGGTGGTCTGTGTACCTGTTTTGAATAAGTGGCAGATGTGACTTAAAGTTGAATAGTCTGTTGAAACCAATTATCAACATCAGAGAAAAAACTTATAGAAACCAAACATTTTATTAAAAAAATTTTTTTATTTAGTAATAAAATTTAAAAGGCAACATTGCAACAATAGGGAAAGCAGAGTCATTTCAACAATTGACACTAGAATAATAGGATATCCACATACTTATTTTCTTTACTGGACATTGGACATTTATTGGTGCTATCAACTGGCATATATGTCAAGGAACCTCCACAAACTATTTTTTTCTTTTCATTATTTATTTATTTTTATTGAATTTATTGGGGGTGATACTGGTTAACAAAATTATACAGGTTTCAGGTACACAGTTCCACAACACATCATCTGTACACTGTATAGTATGGGACCATATAACTCATTGCAAAAGCTAAATCTATACAGCTTTTAGACGAACTCATAAGAGAATATTGGGTAATTTTAGGGGTTGACGAATGTATCTTAGG